AAAGCCCTGGAGTTTGCCAACAAAATTCTGGTTCTCTGATCAGGAATTCATTGCTTATGGCTCAGTGGCCGTGGACCAGGAGCATTTCAGAAGCCCTCCTAGCAGCTTCCCAGCCATATTTGCCAGAGATGGGTTTCAGTCTCCTTCTCTTCTGCCTCACCACTGCCAGCCCCAACTGCATTCCTGATTGCCTAGGAAGAACAGGCTTTGAAATCGGACATCTGCATCCTGATAGGTGAGTGCCCTCTGTAGGTCCCTGACAGCAGGAGTCTCTCCTCTCAATTTGGGGAAATTCCAAAGGAATTTCCATTTGTTGCAGGTTGGACAAGCCCGGTTGACTGGTTTGAGAGTAGAAAGCACCCTGTTTTGGTTTGGACACTCTTGGGTTTGTTGCTACTACAATTAGTATTTTGATAATTATTTGTTTCCATAATAAAGATTTCCTTCCCTGGCAATACTTGTGGTCTGTGATATGAGCAACTGGACCTAGGCCCAACCCCTGGTGTTTGGCAAAATATCATGCAGACAGAGAAGGATGACCTGTAGCTGCTGGACTGCTGGTGGGACATCAGGTGGTAGGGGCATGGCCAATGTATGTGTTTCCAAGTACATTAGCTGTCCTCCCAGTAAACTATAAGCTTCATGAAACCAGGGTCTTTGCCTATCCCATTTTCAGCTTTATCTACCGTGCCTGCAACAGTGCTCAGGACATGAGGTGATCTTTGTTGAATGAATAAATGTTGAGTTCTAAACTCGGCTCTGCTATTAAGCGCCTTTGGAAAACTCATGTTCTTCTCTGAGACCCATTTTCCCCACCTGTAAAATTACCTGGAGGCTTTCATCTAGTCCTTATGGTCTACGGTTCTTTCAAGACATGGGTGCCCTGTTAAAAATGGCCTCAGGGTATAAAAGCAAGAGGAAACATTTGCAGGAGAGCATTTAATCCACCTGGATTCATGATCACCAACATCCTCACCTTTGAAATAGTTTTGGTTACATCAGCAGGGACGCCATAGCAGGGCATAGTCATAAGGTTGGAGCCACAGACTTGGGCATCAGGGAGCAGTTCTTCTGAGACCAAAGAAAAAAGATGCCACCATTTGCTGCAGGCTGACTATCTGCCAATCAACGGACTAAGTGATTCATGAGCTCTCGATTCCTTACAAGGATGCCGGGAAGCTGGTACTAGTTTAGACCTATTTTACAGATGAGTAAAGGAGAGGTCAGAAAGCAGTGACATCTGTGAGATCACGCAGAGAGAGAATCTCTGACCTGAGGCATGAGAGGCAATGCCCAGGCCAGGGGCCAGGCCGTGTTGATATCCCACGTAGCAGAAGTGGTAGTGTCACATAGACGTGGATGACACTTACTACCCTGGGTGCTAGGGGTGAGCACACTGCCTATGTGACATCAGGGCCCACTGTGGAATTTCTGGAGTCATCTTGTAGGAAAGAGGTTCAAAGCATAGCCAACATGGTGAAACCTCGTCTCTACTAAAAATACAAAAATTAGCCAGGCATTGTGGTGGGCGCCTGTAATTTCAGCTACTAGGAAAGCTAAGGCAGGAGAACTGCTTGAACCCAGGAGCAGAGGTTGCAGTGAGCCAAGATCACACATTTCACTCCAGCCCGGGTGACAAGAGCAAAACTCTACCCCAAAAAAGAAAAAGATAAAAGGACGGAAGGAAGGGAGGGACGGAGGGAAGGAAGGAAGGAAGGGAGGAAGGGAGGGAGGG